ATTTTGCTTGTGTTCTATACCCCCCAGGTTGCCAAGCCCTCAGTGGTACTCCATGAACTCTTTGGGGCATTAGCAATCCTCTCATGTAGGTGATTTGGTGTAGAAGATTGGATTTCAGAAAATAAAGACATGTATGACAGTATACTTTTCTGTTAGAAGCATTCATGAATTCACAGTACGGCCCACTTACAAGTGTGCATCCATCATAAATCGGTTTCTGCTATTCTGTCTTAGATCTTCAGCTTTCTTTTTATGAGCTGGGTAATTTTTTTTTTCTAAGTAAAATATTTTTCTCCTTTTGACTTGGTCACATAGCTTGGTTGTAGAAAATGCAGACAATGGGAGAAGTAGAGAGAAAGAGTATGTAAATATTTAAACCCATCAATGGTTAACCACTTAGCATTTGAAGGATTTTTTAGAAATTATTTTCAATGTACTTTTTTTAGGGCAAGGGGAGGGAGTTGTATTGTAAAGCTTGTATATTATACATATCATCTTGTATCTTCTCCTTTCTACCTAACATTTTACTTGTGTAATTAAGAAATCTGTTATCTCCTATAACTTTTCTTTAGCTCCTCTTTACTTCAGATAAAATGTCCTCAAAACACATCAGATGCTCTACCTCAGGGCCTTTGCATGAATTCTTCACATTTTCCACTAACACTTCCCATTTTCTTTTTTTCAGGTGACTGCATGAGTCAATCCCTTACTTCTTCTAAGTCTTAGTTCACCTTCTCAGTGAAATGTCTTCTGATTTTCCTATTGAGTTTGCCCCTGTACTGACAGAATTCCCCTGGCCCAGACCCATCCTTTCCCATGACTTTTAATATTGGTAGTAGCAAACATAACACCTGCCTGTTTATTATCTTCATTTCCCTTACTATGCTACTCTAAGTAAGCATATATAAATGGCTGCATACAGCTTATTTTTTGGACTATAGTTTAATTGCATAATTTTTGGACCATAATTTGTCATCCTATGTTTGGTTATTTAGGTTGTGTACAATTTTTTTGCTATTACAAAGTCCATCAACCTACTATGGCCTTTTGTATAAGAAGTGCCTTTCTGTTTCTCAGGCATTTAAAGAGATTGTTAATTTTGGGGTTACTGTCTCAATATATACTGTATTGAAACTCATTTGGCTACAGATGATATAAACTCAATTTTCATTTGGCTTAAGGGTAATAAAGGAAGTTATTGGCTAACTTATTTGAAAATTGTAGGGACATACTTCAGGCTGACTAATTCCAGAGATTTAGTCATCAGCAGTCTAAATTGTATCTATCTGTAATACCTGCTTTTTGTTGTGTGGCTTCATTCTGAGGTCATCTTTCCCATATAGGAAATAATTGCTTCTTGCAGCTCCATTTTAATGCTTTCAACTCTATAATCTCCTTCCAGTAAGATACCCTCCATCATATTTTCAATGAAAATTTGAATAGTTGCTCATGTTTCAAGTTGAACTAAGCCATCTTTAAGTCATTAGTGGGGTTAATTGTTTTCATCTCATCCAAACTATACAGTCTTGAGGGCAGGGAAAAGGAGGATGAGGGTTCTTTTATTGTGGGAAATGGATATTAGACAGCCCCCAAATTATAGATTTCCATTTTATTTATGAACATTTTAACGTGCACAGTACTCTTTTTTTTTTAAGCTAAAGAAAATAAAAAGTAAAAGCAAGGAAAGCGAGTGGTGCTTTGTTGCAGTGCAGGTGTGCATTTTGGTGTATGTAAAGCTAGCCTAATCAGTTGGCAGTCTACCTGCACTCACATCACAAGGGAGTAAGATGGGAAAACTCATGGTCCCAGCACTCTGGGGGATCAGCATGGGGTTCCATGGGCAGTAATTGCAGGCCTTGCAAGCTGTTGACAGCCACCAGCTCTCAAATTCAATGCAAGTTACATGTAAGCCACCAGCTCTCAAATTCACCTGTAAGTTATGAGTGGTGGAGGCAATTGTAGAGGTGAGGAACAAAAGCATTCTTGAAACTATTCCTAAGAGATTCTGAAAGTAGTGCTACCCAGAAGAATTTGTAATGTGCTGACTCTTGAGGCACTACATTCTAGAGCAGCTGCGGGGTTTGTTACTGACAACTATGGTGATTTCACTACCATCAGCTCTGTAGCCTCTGCCTTGAGTAAGTATTGCCTTGATAAGGGAACTTCTCAGCCTGTCTGTTCATGGGCCTTGCCAGTTGGCAGTACAGTTGTCTGAGGCTGAAAGAGCCCTTGTTTGCTGTCCATGGTTGATCTAGCCTGGCCTTATGGGCTCCTCTGGTCTTTTATTGACCTCAGGGTGGATTTTAGTACTCTCGGTCACATACTCGTGGGGTTCTAAGGTGTCTTACCTGTAATCTCTGCTTTGATGGGTCTTCCTGGCCTCGGCTTGCTGTTGCCGAAGAAGGACCCATTCTTAGCATGAAAGAATTTGGAAAGGTGATGAAAACCCCACAGTTTGTACTCTTTCCATGTGAGTAGGGGACTATTTGAACCAATATGAATTTTTCCTTTCAGTCTGTTTCCTAAAATTTGGATGTCTTGATGAATTATAGACCAAAAAATGAAGTTATTATTTGACACTTTAGAAATCTGCTAGCTTCTATCTATTATTCTGGTCCTGTGCTCATGATTTTGTTTTGTTATTTAATCTTGGGGAGTCATTTACATAGGGAAGCTTCTAGACCTCGAGTATTTGGAGGAATTTTCAGTATATCCTCAATTCCCTTCACAATTGTTGGCATTTTCTCCCTTTCCATCTCATCAAGGACATTAGATAGAGCCAATTTGTAATTAAATACATGTTAATCCTTCCCTTCCACTAAGGATTCTGGGTTAACCTGGAGCCCTCTTGCTCATATTTCCTTGGGTGCATGGGGGATAGAATAATATTAATTATACTCTACTTGTGCTTGAAGTTATTCATTAACTGAGCAAGCTTAAGTCACTCACACAAAGAGAACTTCACAGTATAATTGTGGAACTGTTTGGAATAATGGACACTGACTCAATTGAGTCAGAGAAACCCCACCATTTTGTGGCCATAACTTTTGTTGGATTTCACTCTCGGAGACAAAGTTCCCTGTGTTTCTCAATATAATAAAGTGGGTGTCCTCCTCTTTGAAATCTGTAGACCACTGTATAAATATCTGGTGTTATCAAGTAATGTGACTGGAACATTTTAAAGTGGTAGTTTACTGGGGGAGAAGCAGGTGGTGTCTTGGGATGGCAAATGACCTACTGGCCCAGCGGCACCCTCCAGTCTGTATTACCCAGGTAGAAACAGCAGGACTCCGGCCATGCTGCTTGTGTTTATAAGCTGAGTCTGCACAAAAGGTTGATGGATTTAAAACAGGTTCGATTGCTAATAAAGTAACCCACAAAAAGCCCAAAGCTACCATATTCTGTTAACAGGTTATAAAGGGAAAAGATAAATACTTATTTTGACTTGTTTCTGTGATAGAAAACTTAGTGCTTACTGCTTACTGTGAACCAGGTTCATCATCCTTTAGGGCATCCCAGTGCTCAGGGTATCCTAGCTAGGATCTGCTTTTTGCACATACCAGAGTGGCCTTTGAATTTAATTATTCTCAAAGGTCCCATGTGCCTTTGCAGTACTACACCTGTGTTTTCTATGAAGCTACAGCAGTCAGTGCACACAACTGGTTCTGCCCTTCTCCCTATGCTTCTGGGAGTACAAGGAAAACTGGAATGGCTCATGTTAAAACAGTCCAGAATTTAGTGAATTACATTAAGTGCTCTTCACACAGCCAGAGGATTGGAATATGGTTGCTGTAGGAAGGAGTAGAAATTTTAAGAACCCAGTGTTTCAGTCTTGCTCCCATGTTGTGTTTACCACATGCTTGTCTCTACTCCTCAGTTTATATAATAATGGCAAACCCTAGTTCCAGTGTTTACAAGTTGCAATTCCAACAATGTATATTGTCCAGTTGGACTCTCACTCACAATTCCTAATTCACTTAAAGTGAAATGCACTTGGTTGACATGGAGTTAGATGACTGCATGAAGACTGGGGGCAGAAGCACAAATCCCACTATAGTTGTTCTGGGGCCTATTACTGGACTTAGTGGGTAAGGTGGAGAGTGGGTCCCAGAAAAGGTACTTGTGACAAAGTGAGTGGGTCCAAATAGGTATTAATTTCCAATGTCCACACCCAAGCCTCTCTTAGTCCATGCGTGAGAACTTGCAGCACCCAAGCCTGAAACAGTCTACTTCAGAGCTTTGCTGACTCACTGGGTAGGTGCCATTCTTTGTTGAAGAGCAAATTCTGCTTAAAAATGGCTTTTGTTTGAAAGCCTACCTTTATTAAGCTAAATGGAGACCAGGCTCTTTGGCATATAACAGCTTACAGAATTTGGCAGAAGTGCTGTCCAGTAGACTACCTCCTGCCCTAGCCCAAACTCCTGTCACTGCCCACAGATTTTTGAATGAAATATTTTCATTATTATGGTGGCACCTATGTTTGCTGACATCTACTGTTTAAGATAATTTATTTTTTTCTAAACTGTTTTTATTGAGATCTACATTGGTCTTTTTAAGATCTACATTGGTCTGGTGGGCAAGAAATTTTTTCCCATGATGTTAGCAATGACAAGTGTCTTAGTGACCCTGAAGTGGCAACAGCTGAATGGATCACATTCATGTAAAAGTTTAATATAGTTCCCATCTCTCTATACCCAGTTGATTAATTCTCAAAATCTTAACTGTCATTTGACAACTGCCTAAGTGTTTGCATTCTGAAGTTTGGTCCTTTGGCTCTTCAGAACACACTGGAAAGAGAAACTGTTGTAGATGAAATCTGGAATCTTCATTCCTTTTTAAAATCCACAGATGTTACCAGTATAGTTTGAATTTTTTAATTTCCTTGGAACTTTTCCATTGATGTCGAAGAGGCCATATCAAGTATATTAATATGCTCAAATACAAGAAAAAATATCCATGAGGTTTTAAAACATTCTGAATAATATTTTCTTTCTTTTTAGCTGTCTCCGTTATGAGGTACAGCGCCTCTGCTTTTGGGTTTGCAGTAAGTAATCTGAAAATGTACTTTTATCGAGTGTTGCACGGTTTTCCCCAAGTCTGTGATCCCACCTTGGGCTATCAGTGAAGAGGGCATTTAGCAGATGAGAGCTTAGCGTGACACCCATACTTTTAATAGAAATAGTTTATACAAAAATCACATTTTAACAGAAGTACATTGCAAGGACATTATAGAGCACTACAGAATTTTCCAGAACAAATCAGGAGAGCCACATTTTCCACACTGCTTGAGAGGATGTTTCAGCCTTTTCCCCCTTTCAAGGTTGTAGGTTTGAAAGTAGACACACACCAAAGTATTTGGTGGTTGCAGCAGAAGTGTTGGGATTTAAGATGAGGCTCCTGGTCTTAGGATAAATTTCTCTGTAGCCCGATTGGTGGTAAGCTGGGATCTAAGATGAGGCTCCTGGTCTTAGGATAAATTTCTCTGTAGCCCGATTGGTGGTAAGCTGGGATCTAGCTTGCTTCCTGGTGGAAGTTGATTATAGAAGCAGGTCTCAGTTGTTGAAAGTCTAATCATGTTGAGAACTTGGTTGTGAACTTTCCCCACATCCTTTCAAGATGTGCTGGCAGTTTTCCAGATGAAAAGTGTGGTTGGTGCAGTAAGTCATACACAGAGGTATACAGTCCTTATATATCTCTCCTGTGTAGCTTAAGTGTTTGCTGTACCTGAAGGTATGTGTTCATGTTCCCAAACCCACTCTCCCCTTAATTATGTGAAATAAGTGGTTTGAGAGTTAGCAGATTCTTTTCAGTATCTTTTGAAAGATGTAGCTATTTCTCAGAAAAATGTTGTTACGCACACACACACACGTGTGTGTGTGTGCTCCTCTTTCCCTCTTTATATTTCTTCTTTCTCACACATTCACTCAGTTACCCCAACAAAAGCAACAATTTCAAAGTGTTGGCAAATTACTCAAGAGCTCCTACATAACCCTACCCTCACCCTTAGATACTAGGTAGAACAGATCCATTGAAAGACAGAAATATGGAATCCTTACCCTGAATCTTTCACTTGGCACACGTTTATCAGGAAAATGCAGAACTTGTTTACTGTGGAGAAACCAGTTCCCTATGTGTGCAAACTGTGCAATCCCCTTTAGAGAGCTAGGTGTGAGGATCTGAGAGCAGAGCCCACACCCTTTTCCTGCAGAGTGTGGGTTTTCAAGCTGAAGAGGTAGTGTGAGGCTTAAGGAGAGGCTGTGGTATTGCTGCTGTGTGAGGTGCCCTGACCCTCGCATCCCACTTTCTACTCTACTCTGAGGGTGATGAATGGCCTGCATCCTCTTTGTCCCAAGGTCACTGGTCAGACGGTCCACCTCACAGCACATTTGCCCTATGTCTTCATAGTCATGCTCTATTAATTTTGGAAAACCACTAATGCCATGTCTCCTTTTCCTAGTTTGATGCCATCCTCGATGTCCTGTCATCAGCGATTGTCCTGTGGCGTTACAGCAATGCTGCTGCTGTGCATTCTGCCCATAGGGAGTACATGTAAGTGGACTGTCATCTTCTTCCAGGCTGCAGAACCCTTGCACATGTGAGGCCACATAATGAGGCTGTCAGCACAGCTTGCCTGCAACTTTAATCCCAGTGAAGAGAATACAGTTCTCAAGATGCCTTTGCCAGTGACTGGTATGACAGTAATCATGTAATAGGGCCCTCTTGGGATGTTTAGTAGAGTGGGGTGTCCCTTTATAATTCTCCCTATCATCTACTCTTGAATCTGAATATTTGTTTGTGCTTTCATTTGTCTGTCCATCTGTATCAATCTGTTGATGCATCGTTATTGCCATATGTCAGTCTGTTCATCCTTTCATATTTTTTCTCTCTCTGTTTTTGGAATCTTTGTTCCCTGGAATTTTTATGTCTTTTTCTTTATTCTGTAGAATGAGTTCTTCACTGTAATTTACACAGGATTCTTAGGACTTTCTAACTTAATCTCCTTGTCTTTCGGTCCTACCTGTGTTAGTGACTATTCCTTGCTCAGTCTCTGTATACCATGAGTCTGTGAGGGATTTATTTGTGACCATAAATAAGTATCTTTATTGCATTTGAAATCCCTAGGGTGATACCAGCACAGTTTCTAGGTTTAGATACATTGACTTTGAATTTCACCTCCACCACCGCTTGCTCTGTGACTGGGGAGAGCTACTCCTGTTTCCTCATTTGGAAGAACAGAGAACAACAGTTCCTCCTTCTAGGGTTATAGTGTCATTATATATAGAGAAACACATCTTTTTTGTTTATTTTTACATATTTTTGTGCGTTTTTCCATCAGTTGCAATCCCCTTGGGGAGAAACACATCTTTTAATATATCGTGATATAAACCATCACAGTGATGTAATGATATATGTTCACTTAGGCCAGTGTTTATATTAAGTTCAGTAAGCTTCAGTAGCCATTATTATTAAGTGGAGTCCCCTGGGATTGAGTCACCACTGGTTAGTAGGGCAAGCTTTTTACGTCATCTTTGCAGCTTTTAAACAACTGAATACAAATGAGTGAATGCTCCATTGCTGTGGTTTGTGGTGGTGCCAGACAGAAGGGAAAGGTCTGTTTTATTCATGATGAAGATGGTGTTTCACACTGAAACTTACAAATGTGCATTTCTTCAGAGCCAGGGTATCAGAGAGTCATTTATCTGAGATTGTTGTGCCAGATGGAAAGCTTTAGAAAGATGATGCCATAACTGATTTGGGAATGAGAACAATTTGTAATTTACTTTGCTGCTGGCTTTACTGTAGAGCACAAAAACTTTTTTTTTTTAATATTAGAATTTTTTTTTTAAAAGATTTATTTATTCATACAGAACTGGGATACAGGCCAGAGGTGCCAGGGGTGTGAGAGGCTTCACCAGAGACAGAGCAAGGAGCAGAACAGGCAGATTGATAAAGTACACTGCTGAGGGTAGCAGCGGGCAAGGCAGGGGAGGTCTGCCACGCCATGTGGGTCACCTTTGGGGTAGGGATCGAAATTGCACTGAAGTGTTATGTCTTGCTTGCAGTGCTGCACCACTAGGGAGAGCCCACAAAACTTTTTTTAAGTGTTAAATATTTAATGTGTCTTAGCTCTTTTAATTAATATAATTAAAATATCAGACCTGTGATATCACAGATATATTGTTTAAGGTAAGATATGCTTTTTTTTTTAAATGATTCAATTTATGGTTTTAAAAAATTATGAGCACAATAGCAGTAAGTTGATTTTGTAAAATTAAACTGCTGCTGGTGATTATTTGAGGAATCCAATGAGAACACACTAGAGTGCAGTCTGTAGATAGGTGCTCATTTTAAGCACTCGCCTGTCCAATTATAAGAACACATTTTCTTTGCTTTTATAGTTTTGTTGTCCAATGTGGTTGCTGCAAGTGGCCTTTTAGTACTTATGTGTGTTTGCACAGAACTAAGAGGTGTTGTGTGATGTCCACACCAGGCTCCAAAGACTTTAGCACACACGCACACACACACACACACAAATAGTGTCAACATTTTATTAATAACTGTTAAAATATTGATGAATTGATACAAGAAAAATTCAAATATATTGGATTAAATAAAATATTAAAAGTGATTTTACTTTCGTTTACTGCCTTAATAAGGCTTATAGAAAGTTTAAGTTTCGTATGTGACATATTTGTTTATCCTTACTCTTAAGAGAAAGTCTTTTCTCTCTTGCTTTGACATTAATAGCCTTAAATTTGATTTGCATTTCAAGAAGGAACTGTATTTAATATGTCTCAATTTCTCTCTAACTTGCTTTTCTTACCTGACTGCATTTATGCTGAAATGTGTTTCTTACATATTTGTCTTTTACTACTATGTCTTTTCTATTATGTTGGGGTCTCTGTAAGCCGGTGACATGAAATTTTTCCAAGATTAAGATTGATGATAGAAATGACTTTGGTTCTACTGTTTTTAATGATCCCTAAACAAATAACATTAAAAAAAATAGATATCTAAGTAGTAATACTCAAAAGGCAAAACTTCACAGAGGAATAGCTTTGATAATTCCCAGTGATGGTTCATGTGAGAATGCCAATGAATTCATTTGGAGATTCTTAATCTGGGGATTTAAATGACATGTACAATTCTCTATAGATTGACTTTGTGTAAAGTTTTAATCACTGGCTCATCCCATGTAAATTAAAAATTCATGAAATCACTGCCAGCTGAGAAACTAATGTTTGCATATTAATGAGAATGAATGAATTATGAGAGGCAGAGCTAGAGAAGTCATTGGTTTATTTTTTAGTTGTTGGACATTAATAGTTAATAAAATGGAAAATACTTCTAATGGCCTTTAGTTAATTTCTCCTAATATGGCTCAGATTCAGAATGAATCTTGTTCTTGCAATTGCTAATACAAAAAAGATAGAAACCACCCTCAGCGTTAGCAATTGTGATGTATATGTTAACAGTGGGTGTTACAGGGTGTCTGATGCTCCCAAGAAGGGTCTGCCTTGTGTGTCACCATAGAACATGATCCATTGTTTTGCTTTTTTGTTGCCACAAAAAAAAACAACATTAAATTTACCATCTTAATGTACACTTTAGCATCAGATATGCTCACAGCTGTGAACAGATGTCCAGAACCTTTTTATCTTGCACCACTGAAGCTATATACATTATACAACTCCCCCTTTTTCCTCCCCTTCCCTCAGGCCCTGGTGACCACTTTTTATTTCTATAAATAAGTGGACTCACATAGTATTTGTTCTTTTGTGACATAACTTAAACTTTCTATAAGCCTTATTAAGGCAGTAAATGAAAGTAAAATCACTTTTAATAGTTCATTTAATCCAATATATTTGAATTTTTCTTGTATCAATTCATCAATACTTTAAAAGTTATTAATAAAATGTTGACACTGTGTGTGAGCATGCTAAAGTGTTTAGAATTTGGTGTGGACATCACACTTTAATTTCATATGGCATAATATAGTCAAGGTTCCTTTATATACTAGCATGTGTTAGAATTTACTTTCTTTTAAAGGTTGTGTAATATTCTAGGGCACCTAGAAACCACATTTTGCTTTTCCCTTCATCTTTTGATAGCGAGTTGGGTTGTTTCCAATTTGCAGCTCTTATAAGTAGTGTTGTTATGGACATGGGTATACAAATACCTCTCTATGATCCTGCTTTCAATTATTTTGGAAATATATCCAGAAGTGGGATTTTGGGGCCATAGTGCAATATTTTTAATTTTTTGAGGATCTTCTGTACTATTTACCACATCAGTTGTTCCATTTTGTGTTCCTACCACTAGCTTTCTATTTCAAAAGTTCCAAATTACGTTAGTCACCTTACTGTTACTGTGGTGGGAAATGTGGAGAAGGCAGAACACTAGGTTTGACTTGATAGGGTTTTCAACAGGTGAGTATGATAGAAGGGACAAGGTAATCAAGTTTGTTTGCTTGGAGGGGGGTGGTTCTAAGAATATACCAGACTATCCAGACTATGCAAGGAAGGATAGGAGGCATGCCAAGGTTAATGATTAGTCATTGTGGCTGGAAGTCTTGATTAGGTCAGCAGTGGGGCACTGAGAGTGGGGTGCTAAAGACCAGGATCCCATGGGTGATACAGTGATAGGGTATATTTTTAGTGGGTGTAGGTGGCTGAAGTAGGATGAACATCAATGTTTAGGGACATGTGTGAAGCTAGGTGTTGGCTGGATGATCCAAATGAAACTGAGAATGTTTGTAGAATTCAAGGAGGAGATAAAGGCAAAGAAGCAGATGCCATTGTTGTCAATGAATGGAAGACTTCATGGCAGAAGTACAGGAAGGGTAATGACAAGGAGTTTTAGTGGATGCTTTAGTCTTAGGACAGCTGGGAGTGCTGCCAGAGGAATTCAGAGAAATAGTTTGCAATTCACCAGGAGGAAGATAGGTATTGAGGATGTGAATGAGACAGAAAGTGCTGCTTCTCTTTTAAAGATAGTCATCTTCCTCCAGGAACAACAACGTTTTTATTAACATAAGAAGCAAATAGAAAGCTCAGGAAAGAGCTTGAGAATTTGGAGACTGGGAATAGGATGGAAATGTTGGGAGGGGAAGGAGCGGGGGGGGGACTGAGAAAGGTGATTATGATAATGATGCCTGGCAGTCCTGGCCACTGTGCATTGCTAACTGGCCATTCAAAAGGATGGAGCACTATCTGCACACTTACTATTGTGATAGTCAAGTTTCATTAAGGAAAGAAAGTTTGGGACAAGATAGTCTATGGGATCATTCTCATGCGTTTTAATAAAAGAGTTTACATCCAACATACTTGTTTGGGGAGATTTAAAAAAAAAAATCTTGGGCCTCCTTGGTGGTGCAAGGGTCAAAAACAGCACTATTAAGCTGTCAACAGCCACTGCAGCATGAGTTTGATCCCTGGTCTTCTAGGGAGTGGACCCACATGGCACAGCAGACCACTCCTATTGTGCCGTTACTCCTCCCCTAGGCAGTATATTTCAGTGGATCTGCCTGTTCTGCTCTCCACTCTCTC